GCCAGCCTGAGCCTGGCCTGTGGGAAGCGGAGGCCGGAGAGGCAGCCCACTCACCTGTAGGGACACGGGGGCCTCGCGGTCGTAGTGCCTGTCGTCGGTGGGCCGGGGGCTCCTCCGCCCTCCACACTGACGGATTCGGAAGCTGAACTGCGTGTCCCCGAGGCAGCCTGGGAAGGGGGCAGCCCCCTCCATGTCAGGGCCGGAGGCCTACCCGCCACCACGCGTGGGTGGGGGACACAGGGACGGGGAGGCCCTGTGAGTCTGACCGCTGAAGGCCCCAGAGAGAAAGCCCCGCTGCTGCGTCTGGTTCTCCCAGGGGAAGCCCCTGTGTCCTCACTCCTGCCCCTGAGTTTCAGAGTAAAGTCCGAACCCAGACGCAGGGGCAGCAGCCCCTGTCGGAGCACCGGTGGCAGGCAGTCCGGAGAGGCAGTGTGGCGGGCAGGCTGAGCCCAGCACCGGGAGCGGGGGAGCAGCAGAGCCAGCTCCTGGTGGCCTGAAGGAGACCAGACCCCGCTGGCCCCTCTTCCCGCACAAATCCGGGAACCTGTTGCCTCTGCTGCATCGTGGGCTCGGGTGTCTCCTCAGAGCGCTTCTGGGCTGTGCTGGGCCCGGCCTGGGCCCCAGGGGCTCCCGGATGGCCTCCCCCCCACCCTCTTCCTCTCACCCCGGCCCAGAGCCGGGAGGCTGCCGGAGTCGCCTACCTGAGTGGGAGTCAGGAAAGGACAGGTAGCAGATGCTGCTTTTCTGAAATACATGAAACCCGGTGAGGGCTGGCTCGCTCCTGGGCACCGTCTGCTCCCCAGCGGGCAGGACCCACCTCCTTGTCCGTGAGCTGGAAGTCACTGGGGTACACCAGCTGCGGGCACAGAGCGCTCGGTGAGGCTGGCGGGCTGCTGGGCTGCAGTGTGCTCCTCTCCGCCCCCCCCCCCCCCCCCACCCCCCCACCCCCCCCTCCGCCTCTCCTGCCTCGGGCTCCCCAGGCCTCTCGGCACCAGGCCCCTAAGGACCTCCTCACCTTGGCCAGCACACCCCTGGGCAAGCTCCCCACCTCCCTGCCTGCACCCCTGGCCCTCGAGGCCACTTGCCCAAACTGTGCTTGGGTCTCCCTGACTCCACCATCGGCCCTCTGTCCCCACAGCTGCAGGAGGTGCTACAGATCCTGCCATGGCCTCCTCTCTCGCCTGGACTGGCTGCAGGGCCCTCCCACTTCCTGGACCCCATCCCACCAGCCAGAAGGCCTTGAGCTATGCCATTCCCCTGGGAGGCTCTCAGATCGGGCCACCAGGCCCCTCACCTGCTCTTTACGCAGACGTCACCTGACACAGTGGCTTCGCTGTCTCTCCACTAGCCCCCACTAGTCAGGGGTCCGGGAGCTTCTGACCCGTGCCCCACCCTGGTGTGAGCTCCAGGAGTGTGCCCTGGGCTCCGCAGTGTCTAGTGAGTGTGACCGGCTAGACAAGTCACACACCCCTTGGGAGTGGATGGTCAGTGAAAACCCGGACACTAAGTGACCGGCTCTGAGTGACCTGCGGGGGGCGCAGGGAGCACTGCCCACTGGGCTCCTGGCAGGGTCTCTGCACAGACCTGACGATCCCGAGGGGCTCCCAGCACCCACGCCCTGAACTGTGCAGCCTCATCAGCTGCTCAGAAGCCCAAGCACACAGACCTGTAAGGCCCCTTGCTTAGAATTCACTTTCTAAATGGTTACATTCTAGAAAATTAGACATGAAAATGCCGTAAGGAAACAAAATAATCTCTTAACTTTTCTTGTGATTTAAATTTTTTTTATTGATTTTAGAGCAATAAGAAGGGAGAGAGAGAGAAAAAAAAAACACAGCAATTTGTTGCTCCACTTATGTATGCATTCATGGGCTGATTCTTGCATGTGCCCTGACCAAGAGCAATAAGAAGGGAGAGAGAGAGAAAAAAAAACAGCAATTTGTTGCTCCACTTATGTATGCATTCATGGGCTGATTCTTGCATGTGCCCTGACCAGGATGGAACCTGTAACCTTGGTGTGTCCAGACGACCAAATAAGCTACCCGGCCAGGGCCTGCTCTTGTATTTTATTATTATTTTAATCCTGACCTGAGGAGATGCTTTTACTGATTTGAGAGAGAGAGAGAAAGGGAGAGGGAGAGGGAGAGAGAGATAAAGAAACATCGATGTGAGCCTAGCTGGCATGGCTCAGTGGTTGAGTATCGACCTATGAACCAGGAGGTCAGGGTTCCATTCCTGGTCAGGGCACATGCCCAGGTGGCAGGCTCGATCCCCAGTGTGGGTGTGCAGGAGGCAGTTGATCAATGATTCTCTCTCATCATTGATGTTTCAATCTCTCTCTCCCTCTCCCTTCCTCTCTGAAATCAATAAAAAATATATTAATAAAATACATATCCTATCCTATATAATAAAACCCTAATATGCAAATTGACCAAACCACCAGTAGCTATGATGCGCACTGACCATCAGGGGCAGACACTCAATGCAGGAGCTGCCCCCTGGTGGTCAGTGCACTCCCACAGGGGGAGCACTGCTCAGCCAGAAGCCGGGCTCCAGGCTGGCGAGTGAGCGCAGCAGCAGTGGCTGGAGCCTCTCCTGTCTCTGAGGCAACACTAAGGACCCCTCGGGGGATGTCCAACTATCAGAGGGGAGCGGGCCTAAGCTGGCAGTCAGACATCCCCCAAGGAGTCCCAGGCTGCAAAAGGGTGCAGCCTCTAATGTGTGTATGTGTGTGTGTGTGTGTGTGTGTGTGTGTACTGTGTATATATATACACACACACTGAATGTCCAGATTATTGTGACCACCTGATGTTTGTAGGCAAATTAGCTATAATTTCGTGCTGAAGTTGCTAGAGGGCCAGACCATTATAAATAGGGAAGGAGGTTGTTTACCACGACAGTAGAAGTGACTTTTTTCTGAAGATACGGGTAAACAACGCGATTTAACAGCCTTTGAACGTGGGATATACTTGAACGTGAGTGGCCAGATTATTATGACCATCTGACGTTTGTAGGCAAATTAGCCGTACACTGCATCGTATGGGATATGGAAGCCGAAGGCCTGTTCGAACACCTTTGCTGTATGCAGTTACCAAGATAAAACGTCTCTAATTTGCACAGGAACACAAGGATTGGACAGTCGAGCATTGGAAAAA